ACTTAGAAAAATTAATTTTGCTCTATACCTCACACCACATGCCAAAATAACCTCAAATAATTCAAATATTCAAAAGTTTATGACCAAATAATACAACATTGGAAAATATTTTTGAGCTTTGGATCATTGAAAGCCTTTTTAAACCAATACTCAAAGACTGGAAATTAACTTTCTCATTGTGAAAACTAAAATTTGAAAAACAACTTTCAAAATAAAAATAAATTAGAAAAAAGTAAAGTTCATATCACAAACAATGGCTAATATGTAAACAATGCTTAGAAATCAATGAGAAAAAATTTAAAAGTCAAAAAATAATAGTAGAATACTAAGAATTAATATTCATAGAAACAGATTATGAAAAGAAAGTGAAATATAAAAGACACTGAAACATACACAGTGCTCAACTTTGTTTCTGTGACGAGAAATGCAAATTAAAATTATGATGAAATATTGCTTTCTACCTGTCAAATTGGTAAAAATAAAACAGAATGTTTGATGATACACTTTGCTGATGAAGTTTGATAAAACAGAAACTCTCAATCTTTGGTGGTACTGATGTTGGTTTGTATAATTTCTATGAGGATATATTTAGCAGTATGTAAGATTTACAAATGTATAAAATCATAATTCGAATAATTTTCCTATAGATATAATTGCACATGTGTGAAATACTTAATATTAAGAAAAATTTCAGGCATTGCTTAATATATCAGTAGAATGAAAACAACTTGAATATCTACCAATAGAGAAGTTGGCTAAATGCATTTTATTACATTACACAATGGAATATTTTGCAAATGTAAAAGAATGAAGACGTTATCTACAGACTAGCATAAAATGATCTTCAACAAAAGGATAAGAACAAGAAATACTGGGAATTCCTAAAGAGAGGAGGGAGAAGAGGAAAAGGGTTGAAAAGTCACCCATCAGGCCAGGCTCAACAGAAGCCCAAACTTCACCATCGTGCAATATACCCATGTAGCAAACTTGCATATGTGCCCCTTGAATTTAAAATTTAAAAAAAATCTTCAAAACGTAATAAGTGAAAAACAAAAACAATCTGTACAGAAATATACATGATATGCTTTTCATGAGGAAAATAAGACTGTATATTCACAACTTTTTTGTATTTTATTTTTTTAAGAGCTTTGAAGAATTGTGTAAGAAACTAACAATGGTAGTTACATGTATGGGGTGATAAGGAAATAAGATATAATACTCTTTTTGAGCCATAAGAAATATGTTACCTGACTGGGCTTGGTGGCTCAGCCTGTAATCCCAGCATTTTGGGAGGCCAAGGCGAGTGGATTGCCTGAGCCTGTGGATTCAAGACCCACCCGGGCAACTTGGCGAGACCTTGTCTCTACAATAAATCAAAAATTAGCTGGGTGTGGTAGCACACGCCTGTAGTTCTGGCTACTTGGAAGACTGAGGCTCCAGAAGGATCGCTGAAGCCCAGCAGGTCGAGGCTGTGGTGGCCGAAAGTAGTGCCACTGCACTCCAGCCTGGGCAAAGGAGTGAGAGACCCCAACTCAAAAAAAAAAAAAAAAAAAAGAAAGAAATGTGTTACCTTATACTCAAAAAGCTGTTAAATGTCACCATAAAGGAAGATAAGATTTAAGATGGATATCTCTGCCTCCACACCAACACACAGATGTGGAATCAACCAACCTAAATACCCATCAACTGATCAGTGGAAAATGAATATATATATATATGCCATGGAATACTATACAGCCATAACAAAAGAATGAAATCATGTCCTTTGCAGCAACATGAATGGAGCTGGAGATCATTATCCTAAGTGAACTGACTCAGAAACAGAAAACCAAACACCACATGTACTCACTGTATGCAGGAGCTAAACAGTCACAAAGGTGAAAATAATAGACACCAAGGACACCAGTGGGGGTGGTGGAGCGAAGACCTAATCCCCACCACTACATATTATGTCCATGTGATGAATACATATGTGTACTCCTTGAATCTAAAAATTTTTTTAAATTTATAATTGTGAAACCCTTGGCCATGTCCCATTCTGCTATAGCATATTATCCACATAGATTCTGGTTTTTAAAAATAGAAAAAAAAGATGGAAGTACTAGACACTGAGGACTCCAAAAGAGGAATCTAAAGTTACCTTTTTTTATGCACTTATTTATTTATTATTTTTAAAATGTGGGGTACGATTCAGGGTTATGTAGACAAATGTTCATTATGCAGGTACCCTCAAAAAATTACCTTTTTAAAAAAAGAGTGGAGGATATGGAAAAGAACATGAATAATTATATATACCCTACAGGACATATAACAACAACAATGTGATGAACCCATATAAGTCTAAGTGTAACAAAACTGAGGAATGTTTTTAAAACTGAAGGACACATTTGTCAAAGACTGACTGTTGAAATAGGTAGGGGATTAAAGCCATGAAAGAGAATTGATCCATTTGAAGACACTGACCACAGGAAGTCTGAGAAATTAATTGCAAAATTATGTTAGTTCTCCACTCCTCTCTGCACTCTCACCCCATGCAAAGTAATTTTCAACCTCATTTTTCAAAAGGAGTTTCTTAATCTACCCCATGAATCTGGACTGTCCTTGTGACTTGCTTTGGTCAACAGAGTGTAGCATAATTGACAGCATGCCAGCTTCATCAAGTTTAGATGCCAACAGACCTTGTGTACCTTCACGCTCTCTGAATTTCTATAGTTACCATGAAAGTAAGTCTGAGATAAACTGCTGAAAGATGAGAAACCACCTAGAACACTGCCAAGTCACTCTTACTGAAATCATCCCAGACCAGCCAGCCCCTATTCTACCCACAAGCTATCAGGCAGATCAACAAAACTGTTCAGCCATCCCATCAACTCGCCTGTAATCCCAGAATTTTGGGAGGCAGAGATGAGAGGATTGCCTGAGCTCATGGGTTTGAGACCCACCTGGGCAACATGGCGAGACCTTGTCTCCACAATAAATCAAAAAAAATTAGCCAGGTATGGTGACGCAGGCTTATAATTCCAGCTACTTGGAAGGCTGAGGTGGAAGGATCACCTGAACCCAGCAGGTCAAGGCTGCAATGGCAGTGAAGGTGCCACCGCACTCCAACCTGGGCAACAGAGTGAGGCTCCAACTCAAAAAAAGAGAAATAATGATTATCATTAAGCTACTAAATATTGGAGTTGTTGTTTCCACACAGAAATTACTATGTTGAACATTGAAAATAGGAAGTGAGGAAGGAAAGGAGGGAAACACCAAGATTGATCCATAGTTACTTAATGTGTATGTCTTAGTGGATTTTATTTTCCTATTTCTCAATGGTTAAACCCTGGTAGTAAAATAGGAATTAAGTTACTCGTGTTATCAGTTTGAGCTGCACTAATTAATTTACAGAGTAGACTATCACTATGGCTATTTGGGTTGATAATATCAACTTCAGTTTTCAGATTGCTAAGCATTTTTACAATTAGTTCATATTTTTCTCACAAGAAACCTGGGAAATAGGTCATTTCACCAATTATAAAATAATTAAAATAAAGTAAGTTTAGGGAATGTAACAGACTTGGTAAGAATAAAACAGTATGTAAATAGCAAAGTTTGACCAGAAGTGCTATTTTATGAATACAAATTCTTGGGGTACAAAGGGTAATACAACTGGCATATGACATATTTCAGACTCTTATTATCCTGAATAACAGTATCACACTCATCTATGCCACATTTATACTAGCTTTACCATTTACTTATTTTTTTAAGATTAGGAATACCATAAAAACACCACGCATGCCTTAGTTACCTCAAGCATAAAATAGTGATTATCACTGTAAATGACTTATTGTGATCATTAAAGGACATAATACATATGGAAAAACTTGATAGTCTGTTATGTAATCAGTACATAGCACTAAATAAATGTTACAAATTAGTTGTACAAAATAGTCAATGGCTGGCACAGATTACATGATAAAATTAAATATTAGTTGCAACTAATAAAAATACAAATACATTGCTTCCTTTTTTAAAAAAATGTATTAACTTGTACTTTTCCTGCTATCTTAGACTTATTGAGACATTTCTTCAAACATGGGTGCTAACTTTTTTAAAAGTTTGGTCAAAAACAAACCTATTTGTTCCCTTAATGCATTTAATCTCTGATTTAATGATTCAGATTTTGTAGAGATTGACATTGAAAAATGAGTGAAACCATGGATTGGCTTTCCTAATTTAGAGTAAATATCTTATAAACAGCACCCTGTATGCTGACATAATCATTCCTCTTTACTCTGAAATAGATTAGAAACAAAATATAAGAAGAAATCTTAGTCAGAAGGAAATTGTAAATATAGACTGTGTTATCCAAATGCCAAAACAAATCAGCCAACTCATCACAAGTTTCAGTCATGTGGATGTCAAATATCCAGATTGACTCAGACTTTCACTGACAGAGTTCTCTTTTAACTTTATTTACCAGGTTTTCAACATTACAGATAAATCATCATAATCATCAACCTCTATATGTAGACTCAGAATAATTTAAAATCATACTCCTCACAGAAAAAAGAGTGAAACTGCCACATCTTAAACTAGAAATTAAAAAATAATCTACTGTGATTCATTGAAGACAGTTAATAAAACCATTCTCTCAGTGATAAAAAATTATTTCTATGAGAAAAGTATTATTTTATTTATTTACCTTCAGAGTATATAAGAAGAGCTAAGACTCTGAATATTTTACCACAATTCCCATTTAATTAATATCAAAATATTAAACTTCATTTTAATATTTTTTTATTTTGGATAGGGCATAAGCCAAACATTATTGGATAAATCATTACAGAAATATAAAGCAATACATGACTGATAACACTCTGAGAGGTATTTGTCTGATTCCTTAGCATTGAGGCTTCTATTTTGTTATTGGCAACCATTACTAGTTTAAGTTTTTGAAAAATAACTTTGTGTAACATAGAAACAAACGGGGGAAAGCAGGATGTCCCTACCAGGCAGCCAGACTCCACCATTCTTGGATTGTGTGAATATTTAGGAGCAATTTGGATCTTCTTCAGCATGCAGCTATGCTTTTCCTTTTCCCTGTCTTCTGCAGTAAGGTGTCCTATACTACAATAGGGTTTCTCAACCATGCTACTATTGAAATTTTCTTCTGAATCATTCCTTGTTGGAGTAGGCACTGCTCTCTGCATTTTAGGATATTTTGCTTACAGAGTATTATAGTTTTATCCACTAGATTCCAGTAGTAATATTCCCCATCCAGTGTTGACAATTAAAAATGTCTCCAGACATTTCCAAATGTCCTCTGGGAATAAAAAAAATTACCCAGGTGGAGAACCACTGCACTACAGTCAAAGGATAAACTGCCACACCAATCAGAAAAATTCTTCCAACACATTTTTCTAGGCATGCTTCATAACATCCACAGAACTCTGAATCCAGTGCTGTAACCTCAATTCAATTCACCACATCTGTAAAAATGCGTATGTATTTTATCTTGACCAAGGCCACACTTGCTGGCACCCAAACTCATCATCTGAGTTCCTGAGGATTGAATCACCACACACATCATCACCGGTGTCCACGTGTGCGGAGGTCCAGTCTCCATAAAGCAGGGCCTGAGGTGGGGGGAGGGAATGAGAAAAGAAAGACAAAGAACAGCGGGATTGGGAGGTTTCTTGCCTCAATAGGTGAGAGCAAGTTTATTCTTACAGTATGTTTTCTTATATAGAGCAAAGCTACATAAACAAGAAATATTTTAATGCTAGTATCAGTTGGGAAAGTGTTAATGTTCAGGACTTTCCCTGGTAAGCTTACTATAGTGCTGACATCTTTGCTTTCTTAGAGTCTAAGTAAAACTATTAATATCTGTATTCTCTGAAGTTCTGAGTAAAGTTATTATCGAAGCAGGCTACATAGACTAGAGGTCACACTATCTGAATTCTACTAAATCAACATTCCCAGGGGCAAATATGGAGAGAAGAAAACACTGGCCAAGCTTCTGTTGGAACCAGGCCAGAAACACAAGGACATTGTCAAGCTTATGTTCTTGTTTCCTCTCACATGTGTGCCTCCCAGGGGCCTGAGGATGGGCCTGCCCTTCCTGCTGCTGATGCCCACATACACTGTGTGGGGACCTAGAGACAGGTTTAACTCACCCACTGTCAGCACCCATACACGCCTTCCAGAAGTGCTAGTACAGCCTGATCAAACTGCTGATGCTGCCAATGGCACCCATGTGTACCACCTGGGGCTCAAGGATTGATACACTGTGCTACTATCACCACTCATATGACCCATGACACTCCTGAGACTGAGAACTCGCTTGCCTTCTTAGCCTACCACTGCCACCACTAGTACCTGAGCAAATTACCGAAAGGTTCAAAGACAAGCCTGACTGGATCTGCCACCACCAGTGCCTGCACACATTGCCTGGGGTCCTGAGAATTAGCACATGCAGCTTCCCACCAGCAACACTGGTATCCAAGGATTGGCACACCTGGTGTCCTCATCCCTAGCAAAACTCCACAGCCTTCATAACATCTTTAGCTGAAGGCACTAAAGAAATCACAGACACCAGTAACACTGATTGCAGCCAAAGACATTGTGTGGAGACTATACTACTGCATTTATCTAGAAACAAAGCCAACATACCCTGCCCAACTAACACTATAGATACAGTTATAGGAAAATCTTTTCCTGTGAAAGTCAGTGCATAATATTGGAAAAAGCAATAGTTATTCCATATGTGTAAATATCAATGTAAAGACACAAGAATCATTAAAACAGAAAAAAAAGATACCTCCAGTAGAACACAATAATTGTCAAACCCTGGCCTCATGGTGCTTTTCCTGCCTCAGCCTCCCAAAGTATTGGAATTGCAGGCATGAGCCACTGTACCCAGCCTAATACTTCTCTAATAGCATATACAAACAGAAAGAAAGCATATGGGATGCCTTAAAAAGAATTCAAAATAATGGCATTAAAGAAACTTAATGAGATACAATAGAACATATAATAAAACAAGGAAATCAGAAAAATAATTATATGAATGAGAAATTCAACAAAGAAGTAAGAATCATAGAAAAGAATGAAACAGAAATCCTGGAGGTGAATAATACAAGGAAGGAAATAAAAAATACAACTGAGAGCTTCAATAACAGACTAGATCTATCAGAAAAATTTCTGAATTTGAAGGGTTTACATACTGAAAATTAATATACAAAAGCATAGTCTATGTAATCAGAACATATTAAGTGGGTCTACTTATATAGACATGCATGCACATGTGCATACGCACACACACACTGCATTTATTAATTCCAAAACTTCCAGATTAAAACTGTTATATCTGGCAGAAATACTTTTAAATGTGAAAGCATTCTGGTTCAGACAGAAGAAAATTTGTACAATTTTCTTTCTGGGGAAGCAGTTCTCTATATAAGTCACTTTACCAAAAGTTGAGGGTAATATACTACAATACTGAAGAAAATGTATGCATACTATTGGAAAGGCTATCTTCAAGCTTCCAGTTGGTGGAAGTCTGCTCAGTTCTCACCGTTGGAGATTCCCAGAAATCTCCATCCTAACCAAGTTCCATGACTCCCAGGTCACTTCATACCTAGACCTAGAGGAAAGTGATTACTTCTTAATTCCAAGGCCCACTTAATTTTCCACAGTGGAAGGATTGGCAGTGGGAATTGACATTTTTTTTCCTTGGAAATAAAAAACTTGCTGAGAAAAGAAAAGCACAATATATGACAAGACAATTTAAATTCTAATTGAGTCACTGAAAATGAATAACACCCCAGGTCCAGCTTTTTTTCCCCCAGCTAGTTCTGAAAAATATGAAATATAAATATCAAGTCTACCTACACAGAAATATTCTGCTCAAAAAAATTTTTAGAGGAAATAATTAGGTTAACACAACAGCCATATTGCAAAAAAAGGAAAGGAAGGAAGAAAGGGAAGACAGGAGGGAGGGAAGAAGGAAGGAAGAAAAGGATGAAGAAAGAAAGCAAAAAATCAGAGGTTTCAGAGAAAGTATATGTGCATATTTAGGGAAATAAATATTTTTAAAGTCAAGATCACATTCCTACTAAACATACATCATATTTAAATGATCGATACAATCTTTCCATATTTCTAGTCCGAACCATATGCTTTTAAGTTAGTTTTGACTTTATAATTCTTTCTAAGAATAATAGAACAGTATTTCTTTAAGAGTATTGTAAATAAAAGAACCTTTTTAATGATTTTCCCAGAGTAAAGGAGGTTTATTCCAAAGATACGTTGGTACTACTACTCCAATAAACTGAAAACTGTGAGAAATTTAAATATCCTTTCTCTAACTTTCAAATATTATTTCCACTTGAAAACTCTTTTGAAAGAGTAAATCACCTTATTCACAAAAGAATGCAGTGTGCAATACCTTTCAGAAACAGATCCCCAGAAGCTTTGTTTTGTAACAGATGTCTTAACAATAGACTTCAACAGCAGTGAAAACACTGAAAAGGTTTTGTTGACCCAAAGAGGTGCTTGCAGGTAAGAGTTACAATTATACACAAACACAAGCAGCAACTGAGAAAACAGGAGAGAAAAGTTTCCCAAACACAGTAAAAAAAAAAAAAATGAAGAAAAGAATCATAGTGGCTGGGATAAAGCTGTACAAGAGACACAAACATGATTGAGAGTATTAAAAAATGCAGGCCAAGTTTTGAACTGGAAAGATGAATGTAGAGACAGAATTGGGCTTCAAAGTCATTTTTCTACCAGTCTTAAATTTAAAACAAGCCCTTGCTTATTCTTGTTATTTCAGTATGCCAAATATTGCACTTTTACATGACTATAGCCAACATTAACAACCATTTCAATGATTTCCTTCAAGTAAAGGACATTTGGTCCCAAGAAGAATTGGTAATACTTCTATAAACAGAAATTATGTGGAAACTTTTAAATGCTCTTTCTTGGGGAGTAAAGGACCTTGGCCACACAAATATTTGTTGTATACCAAAATACAGAGACCGCGATTGACTCAAAGCTCCAACTGCTGAACTGTAAAATCTGTCATCTGGTTTATCCAGAGGCCATGCTTCTGATGGGGCTAATCCAGGCAATGAGGTAAAAGGTGAGAGAGGACAGTATGTAGAGACACTAAAACAGAGCAGAATTCCTCTGATGGCTCAAGGGAGCCCCTCTATAGCTGGAAAAGGCACTTCCTTCAGGTTTTTCTCCACCTCTCTTGTGTCAAACCTATATCTTGGTCACACAGCCCTCCCAGACTTTCCCAGCTCCCTCCCCAGTTTCTTTTACAAGCATCTTAAAATAATAATAACATCATCTTTGCACAATAATCCAATCTTGATGTTTCACCCAAACTAACAGGAAGAACTTATTATTGAATCAGCATCTTCTGAGCTTCATAATTTGATGCTTCTAAAATTCCAGGGAAAACCCAAGCACTAATACCATAAAAAAATCCTGGCTTGAAATGTGTTCCTCTAGAGTCTATAATACTGAGTGACCTCTCACAGAAACAAAGATCTGAGTATCCCATGTTCTCACTCATATAGTGGACCTTAAACATCTATCATAATACTATAAGAAAAGGATTGACAGTGGTAGGAAACTATGGAGGGGGAGGGAGGGGAAGGGAGGTGGGATTAATGGTAGTAAATATCTGTCTGAGGACGGGGAGACACCCCTTATCAACATGGGTACCTGAACGAAACATATTTGTATACCTAACCCTTAACTGTACCCCACAATACCAAAATAAAAAATATTGATTAATAAAAAAAAAAGAGAGAGGAAACATGAGTGGTGGGGGAGTACCGGTCTCTTTTTCACAACCAGCTCTCACAGGGCTCTCATTCTCATTAATCTATTCATGAAGGATATGCGACCATGACAAAAATACCTACTATTAAACTGCAAATTCAACACTGGAGATCGTATTTTAACATGAGATTTGGAAGGGACAAGCAGCCAAACTATGGCAGAAAATAAAAAATTGAAGTAGTTGTTTTCACATTTTTTACTATTTTTTCACTATATTCCAAGTTTGCTTAATAAAATATTAATAATTAATATTACACTTTAAAGAAAAATGAAACATATGCATAAAATATCT